TTAAAGAGATTTTAAAGATGATTTGGGCAATAGGATAAGATTATCTCAATGACTCCTCCATGTGGAGATATTCCAGGCGTATTGAAGTGGAAGGAGGCCCTGCCAGTTTATTAAATCCGGGATTACAGGATCTTGGAAATGCAGATAGACGATCTCTACTGCCTTAACACACAGCGTTTTTTCATGGTTTTAACACGCTACTCATAAACACATAAGTGGCACAACATGTTTCCAACCCCAGCTAGGTTTAAATGTGTTATACGTTAAAAGTTTTGTGTAGTAAAAAACATATTGTGTGCATGTCAAAACTCCCTCGCTTTGTTTGTTTGGATATTTTTTTTGTTTTTAGTATACAGGCATCAAAAAGTCAAGGTGTTCTGTCTGAATAAGCAGTTGCACATATTTGTCTTAAACCTCCATGAATTATAAGCACATGATTAATTATTCATATTCTTTCTTGCTGTGCTAATGTGAACAAAGTGACCTTATTCTTCTTCTGCTTATGTTACTTACGTAAAAGCTTTGACATTGCCACGGTGCACCATGCAGTGATTTAAAAATGTAAAACTCAATATTACAACAAACACTGGCATACACATGTTTTTTTTGTTTCCTTTGATACAATGTTCTTTCTCGTCTAATCAATCCTGTCTTTTGTTTTGTTGTACAACCACAACAACAAAAATAGGATCCAATCTGCTCTTTACTTATGTATAAGTAAGCTAAGTAGGAATTGGCAATGAATGACCTTTGAAAAAAAGGGAAAAGATAGTTGTGGGTGTGTTTTAATCTCTGGCAAAGGTCATGATTACAATGCTTATTACCCTGTTAGAAGCATGTAGATCCATCAGTGACATGTCTGTATCCATCCATTCATTCACCCATCCATCCACAGTTGAAAATAATGGCGCCAGTCAGCTGTTTGTCCTCTCTCCGGCTCGTGTGTTGATCCTCTATCTATTGATTTTTGATTGATTAGTTGCCCTATCTTTAGTTCTATCTGTCTGACTTGCTATGTATTCAAAGTTAAAATAAAACGTTAGTGCATTAATATCCCACAAAAACGTGAAATCTAATTTCTGACAATTAGCAGTGTTTAGTGAAAGCAGCAGGCCTGCATAGTGAGAGCTTGGTTTTCCCTGTGGTGCACTGAGCATGAGTCATGATGAACCCCGTGCTGACTCCTCATGGTGAGCTATCGATCCACGACTGGGATCACCTTCTGGACATCATCTCTAGGCTCATTAGCAAGGGCTTATTAGCTGAGTAGGGTTGTAACAGTGCTGTGCAGATGGAACCAATGGTGAAAAGGGAGAAAAAAAGATATTTGATCTGATATGTTCATGGCACTGCATTCCTTAAAGGTGGGGTAGGTAGGTTTGAGAAACCGGCTTGAGATACACTTTTTGTTATATTCCATGGAATGATCTTAACATCCTGATAGCAATGAATAACAAAGTGCTTTGACAAAAAATCCATACAAAAATGTCATCTGTGGAAGCCGTGGTACTGTAAAAAGCACGACCAATCATTTTAGCCGGCCCGGCTAAAATAACTGGATGGCCTACCTGCCTGTCAGCCTTCCATCTGTGCACAAACTTATCTTGTGCCCTCATTGGTCATGTGCGTGTGCGTGTGTGTTGGAGGAGGGGCTCTGTAAGGAAGTGGCAGATTTTTTCCGGCTGTGTATTTTCAAATCCTAGCACACTCGAGCTGGTTTTTCCAAAATTACCTACCCCACCTTTAATAGAATGCAATACATACTTCAACATAACCCAACAACACAGATAAGACACATTGGCTGCCATGGAAGATAATCAATTCGGGCTAATTTGGGCCGCTTATCATTTAAACTCAAACGTATAACAACAGGTCATTAACATTCATATAACAGCCTCTGACACACACCATTTATCTGTTTTTGTAGGAAGTTCAAAAGTGGTCAATGTGCACATTGAGGTAAAAGCTTATTTTTTTCGGTTTTATGAGTCCATTTGGTTGTATTTTATTACATTTAAAGGCTCAAAGTATTTAGACAATTTGTGTCACAATCATTGCAAACAAAGTTAAATAATAACGTTAAGCAATATAGAAAGTTACTTCCTACAATAGAGAAATTATATATAACAATTGTTTCAAAGGAGGAAATTCAGTTCCTGAGCCATCTCTCAATACAATAGCCAAATCTTTCATTTACAGTCACTGTTGCGCTTCAAAATTCTCTGTACAGAAAGACTGACATCTTTTTGTAATCTTATTAAACAAAAGATCGGTATGAAAGAAAAACAATGTGAGGTGCAATGCAATGTATTTAATTTTCATTACGTGTCTTCCACACAATTACCAGATCAGACACAGAAGAATAATATCCTGTCTCATTATTCTGGTTCTTGTTTTATATCTTGTATATGTTCACTGAACAGAGGTCATTTTTCCATGTGATTTGACTTGAATTCACAAAAAAGTTGGTATTTTATTCTGTTAAGTCATTTTATTTACATGATTCTATATATTCATAAATAAATTACAAAGAAATAAACAAACAACAAACTTTATCACTCACATTTTCAAGTATTTAATCAGCTAGCTAATCACATGCGTTTCCTGTTATGATGCAATCTCCTGGCGGACTCCTGCAGACTCAGATCTGATTCCACCATTTTACAACTCAGCCAATTTGCAAAGTTAGCCATTATTCTAGTAATGTGGCATCAAGTTACCATGTAAAATATCACACTACATTAATCAGGAATTCTGAGACTGGGACTGATTGCATGACGGTTTCATCAGACTGTAGAGTAATGCAACATACTGTGACTTTACACCAGTATAGTTACAATCTATGAAAGGTGGAAAGTGGAAGTTTTACACTGAAATATGTTAATGTTTGGAGATATTTGTGTGAATTATTTGCTATGAAATGTTCTATCAAGCAATTGATTCATGTTTAGACTAAGAACAAAATACTAACTGTGTGGGTGAAGACACTCAAATAACTTGAATAACACACTTCCTCTTGACAATTCAGTACCTGGAAATAACAACAATTATTGATCAAACTGAAATAGTCTGTATAATGCCATATAGTTTGATTATACCAGGCGTTTAGTAGCATGCTCACCATGTAATTGCATCATCTTCTGGGCACCTTTGTTTCACATCATGCCTGCTCTTTCACATGCTCTGTCTACTATATCAAATGTATCGAGAAATAACTCTTTCCTTGGGGCAGTCCTGACATTCTATAGATCCTGAAGGACTTATCATTCACTTTGAATCTCTTTTTCTTAGCTTCTTAATTAATTCAAACGGGCTCAAATTTGAGTGTTCTAGCACCATTTCCCCTCTTTGTTTCACCACCCTGAACCATGCCTAATTGCACTTTGAGGCAATTTAAATGTTACTTTAACAAGCCTGCTGTTTCTTACAGCACAAAAACCCACAGTGGGGCTGTTTGTAGCACATATTATGAGATGCAGTCTACTAAACTCAAGAGACCATCTCTCATTATAACATGATACTTTTCTTGTTAGATTTTCTTAACAAGACAAATTATTCTTCTTCTCTCAAAGTTGTCTCTGTGAAAATAAACTTGTTTTAATCATGACACATTTTGATGAGACACTTCTGTGCTGCCATAGTAAATGCATTATTTGTTGCTAATGATGCTAAATTAGGTAAAAAGACCCAGAAACTCCTCAATGGAATTGTAGTTGTGTTATTTCTACAGAACAGGCTGTGTATGTTTAGGCAAAGGGAGGCTTTTAGGATGAAGGGCATTTAACACAGCTCAAGTAAATACTTTTACTATTACCTAAGACATATGAAACAACAATGTTTAACATTGGAAAATGTGCGCAACAGATAAATGATATTTTTTGTGTGTGTGTATGAGTGTGTGTGTGTGTGTGTGTGTGTGTGTGTGTGTGTGTGTGTGTGTGTGTGTGTGTGTGTGTGTGTCTTTGAGTGTCTCTGTGTGTATGTACTGTATGTGGATGTCTGTGTACTGTGTATATGTGTGTGCGACAATAAGCTTATAAAGTTCAAGGTAGAATTGAAAGCGTTTATCGCAGGGGCGTTTCCTGGACCTGGAAACATTCGGGGCTTAACCCGCAGTTCATTAAGGTACCGGACGCTCAGTGGACATTTCTACTGCAACACTCCCCACACGCACAAACACAGTACACTTGCGACACAATTATTACAATGAAGGCTCGATAATCAGCTCACGGCATATAGGTGTAAGCAGAGGTAAAGTGCTATTTTTTTACAAGTGGGGGGCGGACCTAACCTTTAGGGGGGTCCTCACCTCCTCTAGGGGGTTATGGGGCATATGCTCCCCCGGGACGATTTTTTTTTTAAATATTGAAGTTAAAAGCATCAACCTGGTGCACTTTGAGAGCAAAATTAAGAGATATGGATACATCTTTCAACAACCATATGAAACAGAACTGTAAACAGATTTTCTTGTTCTTTATGGATATTTTACAAATCACTCCCCTGTGACTGTGTAATGTAAGGGAGCTTCTAGCTTCATGTCGAACACTGACAGTAAGTCAACATTTTCCAGAGAGCTTTCTTTGAAATCACCAGGTAACGCTAAAAAACACAACATTTATATTGTATGACAACGTGTTAATTTAATATCTCAGAAGTATACGATAAACTTTATCGTATACGTCCATTGTTGTTAACCTTATTAAAATACATGAAACAGTTTCAGGTTCTGTAACTTTGCATAGTACAATAAAACACAATATTCTGGTGTATGTTTAGGTCGGCTCTGCCTACACCACCTCCAGGTCCCCGCGCCTCCTCCAACATGTGTCTACCCAGTGATGTGCTGTGTGCGCATTACTGTGGATGCATAAATGCAGAGGACAGTGCGTGCCCTGGATGCGAGCAGCTGAAGTCGCAGCTTCTCCCCCCCCCCCCCCATGTTCTGCCCTGCCCTGTGCCGTGCTGCGCGTCTCTCCGTTTCATTTCTCCTTCCTCACGCCGACACGAACACAGAGCTGCTGTGTGTGCGGGAGAAGTTGTTTGCACAGAGAGCACCTGGTATAAACTGTTCCCTCCAAACGGATTGGTTCTAGCTGGGAGCAATCGGACTCACCGCGGTCTTTTTATTTTTTCCAGGGGAAGAACAGACGAAGCGTTTGCAATGTGGTGGTACCAGTATGTCAAGTGAGGAGTGATTTCTATTTTTTGTTTTTAATGAACATCTGACATCCTCCCCACCGGAGACATCTTTCAGTCAGACCTTTTCGGATTTCTTTTTTTTCTTTTTTGTGACGGATATTTCCCTGTGAAACATTATCAAGGATTCCACTGATGTATGCGATGTGGAGGCTGCAAGTCGCCTTATGTACTCTGTCGGTGCTGTCCCTGTCATCTGCTGGAGAAAGCAAAGCGCGGAGCTGTAGCGAGGCACGGCAAGCTTATACCGCTAAAGGATTCAGCCTCATCAATGTGCCTCATCAGGAAATATCAGGTAGGAGGACAATGACATCGGTGCTTTTCTTCCCCCTCGTGCCTAGTTTCCCCCCGAAAATAAAAGCATTTGATCATGATGACCACACAACCTGAACTAACTGATCTCCCGCAAGCATTTGAGGATTTAACTCACCCTGTAACCAACATCCTCTTTTATCAGAAGATCCAAACAGAGTCTCAAGTGTGAGTCTGTTTTTGCAAAATGTACATTCAGTGGTTATGTTTTTGGACTTATTTCAAGTATATAAACAATCAAAGTCGCTGCAATAGAATATAACTCTATTTATGAGCTTTTTAAAGGTCAGTATGATCCACTCCAGGTCCAGTACCTACAGTATGTAGCGTCACAGCAAGTTGCATTTCATAGCCAAGTAAGTAGACATCAAGCACTGGATTGAAAAATCAGTATAAAGCTCAAATAATTATCCTGTCATATTGCTTATTAGGTATCCATGTATCCATTCTCATATGGTTAATATTTTTATTTAGGTGTTTTAACACTTTAGAGGACAAACTGAAAGTGCTAATAGCCCATAAACTTAATTTGCACTTTCACAGGTAAAACCCACATTACTTTTCACCATAACAAATTATTATTCATTTCCTCAAATAAGTGGGTTTACCAACAGGTTATTCATTGATCAATAGTCCATTAAACATCAGGATTAACAGCCCAAGAGTAACATGTGGGATCTATGTAATTTACTTTCAACATCATTCCTAATTAATGCTGCTTAAATAGAGACAGTGGAATATTTACTTAGTGACAATGCAACCTCAGTAGATATGTTTTGGAAGTAGCTTCATACCTGTTGCACGCATTCAACAGAAGATCATGGAGCTTATTGTGTGGTGCTTGGCTAAAGAGTGAGTGCTGTTTACCAGTAGGGGGCTGTATGCACTCAGCACAAAATACTCCTTTTGCTGAGGGTTTCTTTTTCCTTCTTCTTCTTCTTTTCGATATTCCTCAAGGCTAAAGCTTAGGTTTTAATTCATGCGCTTTGGTACAGCAGAGATATGGGGTTTTATTATCTCTTGTGTGGTGGTAATCACATTTATGGTCAAAGCAGGAAAGCAGATTAATCAGTAAACATAGTCAGCTTCATGAGAGGGAAGAGGGAAAGCAGAGAGGCCTGAAGTTAATCCTTCTTTTGCCTGTTAGTCAAAATAGAGATACTGAATTGGTAATTGGCAGTGTCAGACAGTTTAATGATCCTCGAGCTGCCTTATGTGCTTTAACAGGGTTTTGGCTTGATGGGAATCTGATCGTTTTGTTACTGATTGAGCATGTGTGTGTTCCTCGCATTGCGAATACATCACATACCAATTTCAAGTCCATGTAGCACATTTTCAATGTTGTGCCATATTGAATAGTAAGACCTTTTTACAAAATGTTGCTATAAGTTGCTATAATGTAGACAAAAATATGACGATTTGTAAACTCAGAAAATTCAGACGAGAACAGGATCTTCATCAGAAACAATACAAACTTTTTACCATACTTGTTCTGCTCCGGCAGCACCGTACTGTATATTCAGCCTCACCTCAGAGGGAGACATTTCAGCCGTCTACTCAAATATAAACAAATATACTGTTGTAAGAACTTAAATGTTCAGAGGCTTTCTAACCACTTACATGATATGCTTTCAAACTAGTGCTCCTGCTCTGTTATTTTCACATCATTTGTTTCATGATTTGACAGTGTACAGGCTATACAGACACAGCGGATTCTGACATTGTCCTTTTTCATTTTGGTCATCAGTGTTGTAAAGTGGTGCTTTGTTTTTAATCCAACTTTGTAAATTGGATTGTAAAATAACCAACCCATAATATGTTTAAGCATTGCAGGATGTCTTCTCTGAAAGGAATGATAATTAAGAGTCCCCTGATGTACTGGAACATGCACATGGTTTATTTCACAATTGTTGCTTTGTATTTGGATTATGTTTTGATCCCATTTGATTATTTCAATGTTTTGTTCAAGATAGAATTTTGGCCTTAACTTCGGCAGCTGTTTTTATTTAGTTTAATCATTCTTATTGGAGTAAAACAACATGTAGCATTCCAGTATTTGAGCACAGTGAGTTCTTTTTTGGCCTCCACCTCTCGGGAGCACTGAACGGGTTTCATTTATCAACGCAATAACTCAGAATGTGTCAGACAATGTTTTCACAATTATTTGGAAATACTTTCATATTTTTCTAACATTATGTCATTTTTTTGTGTAACATTTGGCTACTTGGAACTCCAGCGATTTGAAGTCAAAGACAGAGGTCTGTTGGCCATTATAGATCAACATGTTTTTCGGGGCAGTGATCAAATCCTAATTACAATGAAGTACAGCCTCTACACTGTGTGTAATTCAATCTTGTTGCCTCCAAATAATCTTGCATAAATACAACAGAAGTTAGATATACGGCCTCAAGAGATGCTAGCAAAAACACTCAATTATGCCTAATTAGCTATGCTAATACAAACGTGTGGAGAGCTTCATGTATACCGTTAGCATTCATCACTCCATCATGTCATGCTATCACTCTGCCTCCAGATACTAAACACGGTTTAGTCCCTCTGCAGAGGTGGCCATACCTCAGGTTGAAAAGCTTCCATTTGCATTAACACATGTTTGAGACAGCAGCTGACAAGCAAAGCTTATTAAAGGGACAACACACAAAAGTTAGTTTGACCATACAGTATGAAAATATATTAGACAAATTAATAAACCCAATGTATAACTTGAATTTAACATAAATCTGAAAAAACTTAAATAAAATCAATAATTATTCTAATGATTCCTTTAGAAAATCCCTTATTGTTAATGTGTGTTTGTTGATGGAATTCTCAATAGAAGTTTTTTCCATTCACTTTTGAATAAGCATATTTGCACAGCTACTATCTAAACTCTTCAGGCCATCAATTATTGAATTGTAACAGTGTCTGAATATGTCTCACGGGCTCCATAAAACGTATCCAGATAATAAAGTACCTGTTAAACCATCAGAGCAGAAACCCCACGTTGATTTTTTTAAGGATTACACCAGGAGGCTAGGTCATTTCTGTGTATGCTCTCTTTTTTATCTAATGTTGTTGTTGGAAGACGGATGTTAATCCAAAAAATAACCACCAAATGTATTCTTCTTTTCAGTCATAGGGTGGCAGGGCTTAAAATAAACCCTCACAATTACACGTTGGTAGAAATCAGAAACATTCAGTGTACAGTCTTCCGCTGCATCGAGACAAGTCAGATTACCGCGTGTGGTACCACCGTGAAGAGATGTGCTGCACGCTCAGCAGTAGAACACTTCTGTCAGACTCGCTGATGTGCTTGGCAAATTGTCATCAAACATAGTTTATTCTGGGATTGGAATAAGTCTTTGGCACGGATGCAGACATACTGTAATTGGTGAAGTTAGCTGACTGGGTTAGAGGTCAACCATACTGCCCACTTAATTGATTAAAGAGTGCTACTTTCTCTTTTTGCCTAAGGACTTTTTAATGCCTCAGATGGTTTATATTACAGGATTGGTAGGAGGTAGAGGCCAGTAAGAAAAATTGTACACGGCTTTAGACTAGATTTCACTCAGTTAGTGTTGGAAGAATAGAGTGCTGGTGCTGAAACACACTGCTGAAAATGTCTATAACTATAGCTGGTGGACAGCTTCATTAAACCCCTTCCAGGACGAGCGTATGATTCCTCCACTCTTGTGTTGTCAATGTGCCATCGCCTGCCTGGTGTTTTACACAGCAGTCAGCCAACAAAACAGCCTGCCTGTGAAGATCACCCCTCGTGTGCATGTGTCAGACGTTAGTTATAGTGTCATGCACACAATGCTGCCTGATTGTCAGCTCTTTGTTCATAAACACAACGGCTCCTGAATGCTTCAGTCAGTCCCTTCCAGGGAGCTCTTGCTCCGAGGCTTTGCTGTTAATATCAACATCTACTTACCAAGGGCGCTCGGGATTCTCATGGGTGGACTCAGCTCTTTGCTTCGTCTTTGAAACAAAATCACTTGATGTGCTGCTGTTCCTATTTATGCCGTGCCCGCGTCTTATATTTCCTTTCTCAAGAATAACAATTACCTTTGGGGTTCATCTACTTTAAAGAATATGATTTGATTTCTCTTTAACAGAACAGTTATTAACTGTTACACACCCTGAATACATTTTCCTCTTGTGAATTCCTGCAAGTCAACTCTCTGCTTGCTTATCACTGTGATCAGCGTTTTGCTGGTGGTAACTTGTTCAACAATTATCATGAACAGAACCCAGATACGGGAAATCTTTGCTGTTTGTATTGTTAATGTCTGTATGTGGCACAGTTAATGTTGAGTTGCTTCTTGACACAGACATTACTGCAGCTTTTAAAAGAAAAATCTTACAATAATTATTCAAATTTGAGAGTAATATTATTTCAAGGCTTCCTAAAATATACTTTATACTCAATTAAAACTTAAAAAAACGAATCTTCAAACATATTTGTTTTTTAAAGCGAAGTTTAAGACCATTTTGTTTAATCTGAAGTACAAGTTGAGGGCCTTAATTGGTTGAACTTGCACATTATTTAAGTCTAAGTAAAGTTTATTATTGTGAGCTCCCTTAAGATTATGTTGAAGAAATCAGCATTTCTGGTTTGAAGCTACTTAGCAATAAACTATACAGTACACATCTAAAAGCTGTCTCCTCATTTCTGTCATGAATTGATAATGAACATATATGACATAAGAAATATATAGATGGTCTACGGTGTGTTTAGGTGTTTTGCATGTTCAAAATAATGTAATTAATAGTCTGTTTGTTGCACTGATTCATTTGAATACACTTTACATGCAGGGTTGGTATGCAAGGGTTGATTTTAGATGTGTTGGCAGCCAGATGCCTAATCACTATATAATGGAATGACATGAGACCTTTAGTGAAAGTGTGGGAATACCACTCTAAAAGCCCTTACCTAGCAAATATTCATATACAAATTCTGTAGGGCATTTTTTTCCAAAGCCC